TTTTTTCTTTTTTTTTTTTTGTCTTTTTCCGTGTCCGGCAACGGATCGCAACCCTCAGTGTTGCCCCCGTACCGGACCGGGGACCGGCAACGGGATTGCAACCCTCGGTGTCGCTCCCGCGCCTCGCTCAGCCAGCGAGCGGGAACCGGTCTGTATGTGGGATCTGAACCCTCGGCGGGAGCGCCACTGCGCTCCCAAGCGGCACACTCTCCAGTGCGCCACCGGGCTGGCCCTTAAGTTTGTTTTCTTTTCTTTTTCTTTTTTTTTTTTTGTCTTTTTCCGTGTCCGGCAACGGATCGCAACCCTCAGTGTTGCCCCCGTACCGGACCGGGGACCGGCAACGGGATTGCAACCCTCAGTGTCGCTCCCGCGCCTCGCTCAGCCAGCGAGCGGGAACTGGTCTGTATGTGGGATCCGAACCCTCGGGCAGGAGCGCCGCCGTGCTTCCCAAGCGGTGCACTTATCGAGTGCGCCACCGGGCCGGCCCCAGAACAGCTTCTTTAAGCCTTAAATTCTTTGTCTAGTGGGAGGATTAAACACAGTGCCTGATGCATTGCACTCTGTAAATGTCATGGTCCCCTGCCATTCCATTAGTGTCCTGTCTGAGTTTTAATGATAGTTCAGAGAACAACACGTACTAGAGTCTTAGGTATGAGAAGATAGGAGACAATTTTTTTTAAAATCTTAATTTAATCTTGACATTTATTTTCATGGTTTGGTCCTACTAATTTAGATTATACGATTAATTATAATATAGTAGACTACTGTTTATATCTATTTTCAATGAAAAAAGGCTCTCCGTTGGGGATGTATGTAGAGGACTTTAGCATGAAATCATTGGTAGAGTAGCATGAATTGATAAATCTGTTTAAACTTTAAGAAACCACCAAACTGTTTTTCAGAGTGGCCTACCATTTTACATTCTCACTACCAGGGTATGAGAGTTTATATTTCTTCACATCCTTGCCAGCTTTGATACTGTCTTTTTCATTATGGTCATTGTAATGTGTTTGAAATGGTGGTTTTAATTTGTTTTTCCCTAATGACTAATGATGTTGAGCCTGTTTTCATCTACTTATTATCATTCATATATTTTCTTTGGTGAAATGCCTATTTACATCTTTGTCCATTTAAAAAATTAGATTATCTTAGTATTATTGTGTAGTAAGAGGTCTTTGTGTATTCTGGACACAAGTCTGTTTTCAGATATATGATTTGCAGATATTCTCACAGTATGAGACTTCTCTTCATTTTCTTAATGGTATCTTTGGAAGTACAAACGTTTTTAATTTTGGGGAAGTCTAGTTTATCAATTTTTTTCTTTCATGGATTGGCCTTGTGGTGTTGTATCTAAGAACTTGTTGTCTCACCTGAGGTCACAAAGATTTTCTCCTACGTGTGTTTTTTTTAAATTTTTTGTTTGTTTGTTTGTTTTTGTTTGGTAGCTGGCCAGTATGGGGATCTGACCCCTTGACCTTGGTGTTACAACACCATGCTCTTACCAACTGAGCTAACCAGCCAGGCTCTTCTGTGTTTTTTTCCTATAAGTTTTATTGTGTTAGTGCTTATATTTAGGTCTGTGAGCCACTTTGAGTTAATTTTTGTATAGGATGTAAGATTAAAATCTAAAATCATCTTTTTGCATGTGGCTATCCAGTTGTCCTTGTACCATTTGTTGAAAAGACTGTCCTTTTTCCATTGAGTTGTATTGGTATCTTTATTGAAAATCAATTGACTATTAATGTAAGTGTGTGTTTCAGGACTCCTGTTTCTATTCCCCTGATCTGTACTTCAGTCTATACACCAAGTACCACGCTGTGCTGATTACCGTAGTTTAATATTAAATTTTGAAGTCAGAAAGTTAAGTCCTCCAACTCTCTTCTTTTTCAAAACTTTGGATATTCTGGGTCTTTGTACTTCCACATAAATTTTAGGGTGAGTTTGTCAATTTCTGCAAAAAAGCCAGCTGGGATTTTGGTATGTATTATGTTAAATATGTAATCAGCTGGGGGAAGAATTGCCATCTTGAAAATATTGAATCTTCTAATCCATAAATATGTGATATCTCTCCATTTATTAAGAAGGTCCTTAATTTTTCTTAGCAATTTTTATTCTTCTCAGTGTACAAGTCTTGCACTTCTTTTGTTAAATTTGTTTCTAAGTTTTTGAGGTTTTTTTGGTGCTGTTATAAATTGAATTGTTTTCTTAATTTCATATTTGGATTTTATTAGTAGTTTAGAGCAATATAATTAGTTGAGTATAATTAGTTTGTTGAGATTTTGCTTTCTGGGTTCAGAAGTTTATAGCTTTGCCAAAAACATACATTTAGTTTTAACCCTGCAGAGGGATTATTTCTCCTGATATATAGGAATTATATATAAAAGTAGGTATAATACAGAAGATACCTTCTGTATTATACCTACTTTTGTTTTTATTTATTTATTTATTTATTTATTTATTTATTTA